TGCCCAGTGTTCTGGGTTAAGCAACTTAGAGGCTGCCTGGCAGAACAGAAAAACTATCATATGAATATTTAGAATGGAGTCTTTCCTGAAACACTCCAGAAACTGCAAAGCTATCTTTTATTCTTCTCTAAAGGCTATAATTTTATCAACACAAAGTTAGCCTTTTCTTTTCCACACTAGTAATGTTTCTGAAGTTGGATGTGCTTAGGTTTCTTATCAGAATGAGTCCCAGAAAGTCTACAACAAGAAAACTCTTTTGCTTCTCCCAGATTTCCTTTCACTAATATCAGACAGGGAGGCTCCTTCGGTAATACTAACCTCTTCAAAGAAGTTTCCAAATGGTGGTAGTTGCTAGAATGAAAGACACTTTCTTGGGTCACACTTTGCTGTAGTGTTCTGAATTTGCTCTTTTCCCATGAGTATTCTGCTCTGCCCTGTTGCACTCTCCTGTGTCACGTGGATGTGTATTGATCATAGGTCTTTAACCTGTCCTTCCCAAGAAGACAAAGCAGACAGTTGTATATGAAGATACCTTATGCAGTAAAAATGTGAAAGTGGAACATTGCTGCACAAGTACTGTATAAAAAAAAAGTCTGTAAAGAAATTTCTTATGTAAACATACAGAGGAATAAAGACTTTTATCTGTTCAAATGGGAGCATGATGTTTAGAGATGTAAAGAACTTAAGTTGTTCTTTTCCTGAGCTGAAAACCCACTTTTTTGCAGAAAGGATTTCATCACAGTGTTGAGTGACAATAAGTACCTGTGCATAAGAAAAGTGTAGCTACATACTGAGGACATAGTAATGAATCATGGCTACCCAAGAGAATAAACCTTCTATGGCCAAGGAGAATTAGACGCCGGCCAGCTTACATTGGATATGACCAGACACAAGGTTGTAAAATGGAGCACAGGTTTGCAGCTTCCCTCCTCTAACTGAATCCCTAATATGCCCAGGCCAACTTAATTAAACATTTTATGTTGGCAGGAATAATCTTATCCCCAGTGAGAAAGCTCTTTCATTTAATTGCCTCATTGGCTTGAGAGGCACAGCTGGCCATTTTTGGCTTCCATCAGATCCCTCATTTCCTAGTCATGGGTTTTAATGCAGCTGCCCAATATGTGGTGGAACCAAATGCCTACTCTTATTATGTGAACTAAAAGGTCATGGAAATTATTAGTTTGCTGTACATCTCTTGATTTCCCTGGTTTGGTTCTAAGATTTTACATTTCAACTGCTGTTGCATTTCCAAGTTTTTGTGAAGGGGTAGTTTGCTTTGTATTTACTAACTATATGAGAAGGCTTCTTCTCAATACTCCAAGTCTTCATTTTCCATTTTTGGCAACAATTATGTCTTTGATACTCCCTGTAACTGTTATTTCAGTTTATGGTATGAAGAAAACTAAACTTCTGGTTGTGCATGATATATGTCATTAAGGAATATCCATCCTGGCATTTAGATCTTAAGCGTTTGATTCTTTAGGGAGCATTCTGATGACCCTCACTATGTCAATCAGATGGAATTTCCAAGGGAAACCAGTCCTAAATGATTCAGCCCTTTTGGTTGCGTTGGAAGTTAATAGGGAGCTGGTGAGGATAGTTGCCAAGTCATCAGGTATTTTGGGACTCTTTCTCTTCCTTGAAGCTTGTGAATTCTTGCTGAGATCTACAGAATTTGGAGCCTCAAAATAGACTAATAGAGAGTTACCCATATTAGAAGTGTCAAAGTGCCCAGCCTGGCACACAGTCCTACATCAGAGCAAGAAAAAGAAGTGTGTTTTGACTTCTTGCTTAATTTTATGTGCAAAATGAAAATAAAAAGAGGCCTGACCCAGTTTGAGGGAATTATAACCAAACGCTACCTTAGGCTCCCTGATAAGTAAGACCCTGAGCAGACTGTGAAGCCAGGCCCTGGGCTTTATCCCCTGAGGTACAACAGGCAGTGTTTACTGAGTTCTGTGGCCACAGGTGTCTGCTATGGCGTGCTATTGGTTACCAGAGGAACCCGGCCAAGGCATGTGGTTAAGTTGGTATAAATCCTTCATTGTTAGTAGAGAAACTATTTCAAACACATTTTCTTGTTGACGCAATGCTGTCTTCATGAAAAGGAACTGTTCACCCTGAAAACACATTTTCCCTATAAGAACACATTTACATACTCAAAAAAAAAAAAGAGATTTTATCTGCCAACAAGATTTAATGGTTACCTTCTGTTTATAGCTTCTCTTTCTCTTGACTACCTTGTTTCTGGTGCTACCACCACCAGAATTCCTTAAGTGAATGTGGAGGTCTGGGCTTCCCCCGTATTCTCTGGCATTTCTTTGGCCTTCAGAGTACCAGGCCTGGAGAGTTGCAAAGTGTGCTTGCTGTCTGCCTCAGTCAGTCATACTGTACCTCCTCTAGGAATAGAAAGGTTAAGGGACTTGGCCTTCTCAGGAGAACCTTTAAATGTTTTCCACTCCTACAAAGCCTATTCATGCTGAAAGAAAGATAGGAAAGAGCTCTAGTCCTTATTTTGAACGACAGGAGACTAATTTTCCCTTCAAACTTGATATTCTGGTATTTTTGTGACTGTTTTTGTGAATTATTCAAAGTTGTAATTTTAAGTCCGATTTTGCCCTTAGTCATCATGAAGGTCATAGAATATGCTCTTGAGTTGGAATGTTTGCCAACCGGGTTCTTGACCAAAAACCTACTTTTTAACAAATAATTTTTATGGATTGGTTCTTCCATCCTCTCCAGCTCTGGATATGGGTACACACACACCCCTTGGTACTTCCCAGTTCTCAAAATGTAATCTAGCACTTTAGGCATCCAGAGTGCCCTTGGTTCAATAGATACCTGTTGGTTGTTTGTTTGTTTGTTTTGCCAGTCTCAACACACAAATTGTTTTGACTGAATTTAGTTTAAATTTCTAAAAAACACTGACTCCAGTCAAACTAATGTTCATTGTATTACTGACCTGTATGATGTCAGAATTGGTCATTGGCTTGACTAAGTTTTCCATTTTTTTCCCTAAGAGATACTTTGCTCTCCTAAAGCACAAGCTTAATAACATCAGCTTTCAGGGTAGTTTTGGAAGATGAGAAATTGTGCTTTTGTTTTGGCAACTGAAAACCTTATCTAACTGATACTATGTGAGGAAGCTGCTTCCGGGAGTTTTAGGGCTCTCTTGTCCCGCTTTAAGGCTCTGCAAACCTTATTTTAGAAAACTGATTTTTCTCCCTTTTATTTGAATTTCCTCCCAGAAAGTATCATCTCAGTATCACTGAGACAAATCTAATATGAATATACTTGCCTGAGAAATTAGGATGATGTCTATCCACATAAATTACAAGGGAGAAGGTGTTCCATTTATTTCCTGTCGACTGACTGATGCTTTCGTATTCCCATGTAGCTGCACATATTAAAATTATAATGCAAGGAAAAACTTATTCTCTTCAAAGTCTTATTCTTCAAGTACTATTCAGAAAGCCATTTGGCACCAGTACATAATTTAACTTAACGCTCTAATCTGAAATTTACTGAATTCATTCAAACTGTTAGAAAGGAAAATAAAAATGGAGGAAAAACACATTTTTGTTTTGTTTCTGAAAACAATATTTAAGGTCATAACTGTTTAAAAAGAAGCACTGCTAAAAGTTATAGGATTCATAGAAACATAGTATTTTTGTACAGTATCTTATAAAATGTTCAGACTCCTCTCTACCTTCTCTTTACAATGTAATGTCTCTTAAGTGACTGGTTTCCCAATAAACTGATTTTAATGCCTCTTCTGCTGTGGTGTGCGTGCTTAATTGAAGCAGAAACTTTAGCAGGGGATGATTTTGGGCAGAAATTTCTGCTAGCTAATGGTTTGCGTAGGAGGGGAGAGGGTCAGTATGGGAAGGAGATGATTGAGTTCCATCTCTACAGAGATTCTGGGTTATCTGTGGCTCAGAATCATTGTATCTAATATTCTTGTCCTGGTGGGTTGGGAAAGTACAGTAGTATCTCTTTACTGAGCCCATGGTGAAATGATAACTTTGCCCCCAACCACCGTTTCTCTGGATTCTTCTTGCTTAGTTACATATGCCTTTTTCCTGCCCTTTTGCTAACATGTGCCCAATGACATACTTCTAACCTGCTAATATTTCTTGGAAGGTAAGCTCTATTGCATTCTGATAATTGTCTATTTGATTTTAAAAGCCAGAGCACCCTGAGGCACCTCTACCTAGATAGAAATAGACTAGTATATTGGAGTTTGCTAATGCTTCTGTAATGACCCATGCATTTCATTCCTTCTGCTTAAAGAAGTTTATGACAGATTCATTTAAGCAGAGGAGATCTTTATGAACTTAGAAGACTGAAAACAAAATTCTGGGGCAACTCCAGCTGAAGGTGATTTATTTGGTCTGATTTCGATGTCGTATGCTCCCCTTAGAAGGTACCTTCAGTACTTACATTTTGGGCACTCTTGTGCTCTTTGAGTAGGGCTTATGAGATAAGTCATCAAGTAAACTTGCATTTATCAAGCAGCCACATTCTGCTTTTCAGAGAGTTTGTCCCTCTGCATGTGGAGCAGATGACCACATGCCAGATTCTGAATTGAGTCATCCCCAGACAGTGTTTCTACATAATCCAAAACTGTCATGGTATATGTGGAGATGAATGACTGGGTTTGTTTTCATTCCATAATGAGCCAGTGCCAGGTAGAGCAGGTGTCCGTGCCTGGCCCTGTGTGTAGGAGCATTGCATAGTTCACGCTGAATGTCTGTGTGCCTAACATCTTCATCTCCTCTCCTGTACATCGTGCCTATCATGTTCCAAAACGTGAGACAGTGGTTGGTTGTGTTCCAGTTTGTGTGCAGTTTCCTTGCCTGATTTTTACTTTTCTGTTTTTCCTTTTGCATTTTCAACATCTATTATTTGGTCCCACAATGTTTTTGCCGCGGGTTGACCATTGAATGTTCCAAAGAGAATTGACCTATACATTAATTCTGCATTTTATGCTTTTCTAGGTCTCCAGAGAGAGTCCAGTCCCTGTCCTGTAATAACTGTAGAGCACTTTAAAGAATCACTGGGTGTTAAAGGCCTTTCCCTGTATCAAGACCCCTCCAGAGTACCTGGCACAAAGACTCAGAACAACTTAGAATCTGACTACTTGGCCAGAGATGGCCCTTCAAGCAACAGCTCATTCCACAGCAGCGAAGAGGAAGGGACTGACCTTGAAGGAGACATGCTGGACTGCAGTGGGTCTCGGCCTCTCCTTATGGAGTCTGAAGAAGAAGATGAGAGTTGCAGACCCCCCCAGGGGAAGCTGGGAGGAGCCATTCCATTCGCTCCACCAGAAGTCTCTACTGAGCAAGCAAAGACAGTGCAAGGTGGAAGAAAGAACCAATTCCCAGCCCTCACACAGCCTACCACCGATGGGCTCAGTGAGCCAGATGTTTTTGCCATTGCTCCTTTCAGGAGCTCAAGGGTTCCAAATGACGACATGGACATTTTCTCCAAAGCCCCATTTGTCTCCAAGAGCAGTGTGGCTCCTTCCCAGCCAGAGGAGTCAGACGTGTTTTTGAGAGCTCCCTTCACTAAGAAAAAAAGTGTGGAGGAGTTAACAGTTATCCAGAGCACCTCTCAGGAGCTGCCTGCACAGGCTGGTCTCCTCAGTCAGACAGGTGACATCCCCTTGCCCTCGGGCCGTGAGAGAGCTGTATACACCTCTGTCCAAGCTCAGTATTCCACAGCTGGTTTTGTGCAACAATCTAACCTCCTCTCCCATTCTGTACAAGCAGCAGACCATCTGGACAGCGTCTCTCCCAGGGGATCCTGCCTGGAATCGGGGAGTCATCCTAATGACAGAAACAAAGGACCTCAGCCCCAGAAAGAAGCTGTCTCAGGCCCTGTGGCTGGCAAACCATTCCGCCCCCAGTCCTTATCCAAGTATTCCCGTCACTATAGCCCAGAAGATGAGCCAAGTCCAGAAGCCCAGCCCATTGCTGCCTACAAAATTGTTTCACAAACCAACAAGCAGTCAATAGCTGGGTCTGTTTCCATCTCATCCCTTTCTTCCAGGACTACGGAGCTGCCAGCTGCTGATCCATTTGCTTTAGCACCCTTCCCTTCAAAATCAGGCAAGAAACCCTAGGAGCAAAACCTGAGCCTCAGGCCTCTGTCTCTACCCGACCCTCAATACCCACCACGGCACTCCCAGCTGAGCCTTCCCAAGGAAAAATATTATCAGTTCTTATCTTTCAGTTCCCTGCGTCAGAGCAGAATTTCTTGAGTCAACAAACTCAGTTGCAGTGATACTGAGTTGAAGCCTCTTTAAGTTATATTCACTTTTTTGTTTGTTTGTTTGTTTATATTGATTTCTGGACTTTGAGGCATTTTCATCTCCTTCACAGAGGTCGTCCACTTCCACCAAGAACTCTGCTTTTTTTTTTTCCCCCAGAAACTGTTTAAATCCAGAAATACTTCACCCCAATCCCAAAGGGGCCTTATTGTTGCTAGTTTTAATTCCCGTAGCTCCTGTTCTAAGTCATGCCCATCGAATAATCAAGATTCGTCCCTCCACCAAATTAAGATTTAGTGCTCTTGAAAAGGGGAGATGTCTGATAAAAAGCCTGCACATCAACAGGAAGTATAATCCTGCACGAACTAATCATTCCTGTAGAAGCAGCAGCTCTAGGAGTCTCTGGATCTGTTTCTCAGTCTGTGTGCGAGCCAGGCTGGCCCTCGTGCATGAGTGTCTGTGGGTGTGGAATGTACGTCAGAGCCTATGTAGAGATACAGGCAGATGGGATAACTGCCTGTGTCTAGTCATGTTGGCAAGGCTTTCCCCACATCCATGCTTTTGAAATTAGTATGAGTGTACAGGTTTGTGTGTGCATGAATGCGTGCGTGTGCACGGAAGCATTTCTCTTTAGTAAAGCCTGCCCCATCGTGCCTTCCTCCACAATCAGATCATTCATTTTTTGGTGTTTGCTCACCTAACTGACTTGAACGCTGTTTTATTTAGTTTTTTTCTTGTGGCAAAATTGAATACATTGGAAAGTGTAGGGAAATCCTGCTAGAACTGATGTTTCAGAGTAAATTTTTTTTCTCTCCAGAATTTCCTGTTTGCTATTAACAAATTATATTTACTGGGTTATAAAAAGTTAATTTTCCTTATACATTCTCTCCTCACAGCAATAGAAAAGCATACCTTGTTACAGTTCCAGCCTCTGAGTATGTGGACTAAATGCCATCATTAGGAAATTGGTTCATCATCAGACTAGGCTACAAACTAGGCTTGCTTGTTTTGGGGTTGGTTTTGTTGTTGTTGTTGTTGTTGTTGTTGTTGTTGTTTTACCCAAATTCTTGCCATCTTTCTCTACTGCCCTTTGAGGAAATGTAAATCTGAGACGTGGAAATAAGTGTTTGGGAAGTGGAAAAGAGGTGAATCAGGTAGGCATGAAAACTTTCACATTCTCTACCCTCTTTAGACGTTGAAATAGGTCAGACAGGTTAACTGTTTTTTAAAATGTCTTTTATTTCTGGAAAGATCTGACTTATTCCTAGCTTTTTTCATCTCTTTATTATTAGTGCCTTAAAATAAAGCTGGCCAGGTGCGATGGCTTATGCCTGTTATCCCAACATTTTGGAAGGGTGAGGTGGGAGGAAAACTTGAGCCCAAGAAGTTCAAGACCAACCCTGGCAACACAGTGAGACCCTGAACCTACAAAAAAATTTAAAAATAGGCCAGGCACAGTTGCTCATGCCTGTAATCTCAGCACTTTGGGAGGCTGAGGCGGGTGGATCACAATATCAGGAGTTCAAGACCAGCTTGACAAATACGGAGAAACCCCATCTGTACTAAAAATACAAAAAATTAGCTGGGCATGGTGGCACATGGTCTCAGCTACTCAGGAGGCTGAGGCAGGAGAATTACTTGAACTTGTGAGGCAGAGGTTGCAGTGAACTGAGGAAATGCCATTGCACTCTGGCCTGAGCAACAGAGTGAGACTCTAAAACATAAATAAATAAATAAATAAATAAATAAATAAATAAATAAAATAATTATCTGGGTATGGTGGCTTATGTCTGTAGCTAGTCGGGAGGCTGAAGTGGAAAGATAATTGAGCCCAGGACTTCGAGGCGGCAGTGAGTCATGAGTGCAGCCTGGGTAACAGAGTGCGACCCTGTCTCCAAAAATATAAAAATAAAGCCTACATCTCAATGGAAAGATTTCTGCTAAGACAGTTCAACTTGATAGAGTTGCTGTATTAGGTTTCAACATGAATGCTGTCACTTCGAGTAAAGGGTAAATGATTTTTCCATTAGCTGTAGAAGTCTGGAGCGTTATTTACCAAACCAGATCAGTGATTTAAAACTTATTGGAGATTCATCTAAGAATCAAGTCTAAATGCCCAATTCTATTGCAGTTCATTAGTGTGATATTCTTTAAAGTTCAGGAATATTGGCAGTAAAATATGAGCAGCTACGTTTCAACTCTTTTTCCTTTTTTAGTTGGTCTCCACCTATTTCACATGTCCAGATTAAAAGATAAATAATTGGCATTGTGCCAAGGTTTGGTTTTCCTGCCAAGGTCTCAACTGTGCCAGAAATCTGTGTCTTTCACTTTGGTGGATGCTAAATGTTTTTTCTAAGAATTTGCTTTTTTCAATTCTTGTTTCTGACTTTTCTATGTATGAGTGGATGCAAAATTGTCTTTCTAGTTGAATGAATAATTTTGGCTAATGCACATGGAACTTTGCACCCCAGATTCTTCCCATGGCCATTATCAAGTGAAACCCTCAAAAGCTTGAACTAAGAGGCCAGGAATATTCAGGGAGAGCAGGGAGAGTTCTTACCCCAACTGAGAAATTCTATTTTTTTCCCGAGATGGAGTCTTACTATGTTGCCCAGGCTGGAGTACAGTGGTGTGATCTCAGCTCACTGCAGCCTCCACCTCCTGGGTTCACCACTGCAACCAGCCCAGAAATTCCCCTTTCCAAATATTCAGGATTATCTCTGTAACAGCCCTGCAAAATGTTTTTTCTTTGGTTATTTGATAATTCTCTTCTAATCAAGTGACTATTTTAATTCTCAAAGTCAAAATCAGAATAAAATCATGGTGATTTTACTATAGTTGACTACTTCATCAAACATGAGCTTGTATCCTTGTTAAATTTTTCACTGGAGGCCAGTGGCTCATACCTGTAATCCCAGCACTTTGGGAGGCTGAGGCAGGTGGATCACTTGAGGCCAGGAGTTTGAGATTAGCCTGGCCAACATGGTGAAACCCCATCTCTACTAAAAATACAAAAATTAGCCGGGCATGGTAGCACATGCCTGTAGCCTGAGCTACTAGGGAGGCTGAGGCAGGAGAATCGCTTGAACCCAGGAGGTGAAGGTTGCAGTGAACCGAGATTGTGCCATTGCACTCCAGCCTGGGTGACAAGAGCAAAACTCCATCTCAAAAAAAAAAAAAAATTGTCGCTGGAGATATGGTGGGTGGAGACTCTACATACCTTCTTTGAATACAGAAATGGATGTAAACATATGCAAATTACTCTTGTTTTTTTTTCTTGGTGATGCATGAAAAAACTTTGACTTGTGGATTACGCTGATTATTAGTAACTGTTAGATTCTGCAGACTTGTATTACAGTAGGGTCTTATTTCCTTAAAGAGAAAAAAAAAATACAGTCATGCCCCACTTAATGATGGGGGAAACTATCAGAGAAATGCATCCTTAGGTGATTTTGTCATTGTGTGAACATCACAGAGTGTACTTAGCACATAGATGATACAGTCTAATACCTACCTAGGCTACATGGTCTAGCCTATTGCTCCTGGGCTACAAACTGTACAGCATGTTACTGTACTGAATACTGTAGGCAGTTGTAACACAATGGTAAATATTTGTGTATCCATGTAGATATAGAAAAGGTACAGTAAAAATACGGTATCATTTTATGGGACCATCATGGTATATGTGGTTCATCATTGATGGAATCGTTTTTATGCAGCACACGACTGCATATAATCAAATGACTATACTTCTTGTTTTTATTTGTTGTGTTTTTGCTTTACACATTTGATAGGGAATATAGAGCTTGTGTCCTTTCATTTCAGTGGAAAGCAATGAGCCAGAATATATTTATTCATAAAGCATTGAGCCACACATGCATTGATGAACCCTGAAAGAATCCACATTAATTGATTAACAGGAACTATTGAATTAATGATGTGATATGTGGTGAAAATATTTAATATATTTGTTTCTTGGGCTTACATACAGCCCTTTAGCTCCAAGTGCTTGGTTAGATTAGAAAACGGGATGAACACAATTTGATGCTGCAGCAGCTGCTGGGCAGCACTTAGGGAGTCTGGGTCATACACCCTATTTTGTCTTGGGTCCACTTATTATTGAGTTTAAAATGTCTCATATGTGTATACTAGAATGTATGTGTTTACAGGCCCATGTTGTATCCGAGTTGTATCACGCAACTAAGATCTCTTTCTAAATGTTCTAGAAAGATACCGGTATCTTACTGGCCCATTATTTAGTAAGTTTTAGAATACATGTACATCAGTGTTTTCAACTACTTGGTGGACATTTCACTAATGCATAATGGAATCAGATTATAATCATCAGAATAATCTGACAATGGAAATTCTATATTTGCTTCCCTAAAGAAAAAGAATCAAAACATATATCAGATATAATTTGTGTGCAGTATATCACATAGGAAATTGTATTATAGGAAATGAGAGAAGGATGCTACTCAGTTCATTCTCTAGCAGGAAGAATACAGCTTAAAATCATTTGAGTCCCTTTAATAAAGAAAAGCGTGATTCTCTGTTGTGTGTTTGGAACTGAAATTGGAGAACACATGCCAGTCAACTGTGACATGGTTGCTGGTCTCACAGATGTGGTTTTATCTGACAAATCTGGAACCCAAATTATTTTGATGAAAGGTACATAAGAGAGCCGCAGAAAAGACTGTAGCTTCTGAGGAGGCAGGAGTACCTTGCTAATGTCCAAACCACCCCTGAGTTCTAATGTTCCAATTCCATCTAAAGAAGTAAAACTGAAAACTTTAAATGGGATCGTCTAATTTAAGTTCTTAGTCTTTTCTTTGTCTTTCTCAACTGATACTTGTAGTTTTGTTTTGTTTTTAACCACCAAGAACACTTGCAGATTTGTTACTGAAAACAACACTAAAGGAAAAGAAGAGTTTCAAAATGCTTGAAAATAAAAAGTAGCATGTGGTTGGGAATTGTTTTTGTTTGAGTCCCTGGAAGTCTTCCTGGCTTACCTCCCTTGTTCCTGTTCTCACTTCATTTCCTTACTTGACATTCCGCTATTTTGAGCATGTCAGTAAGTGCATGATGAAAGGCACAGTTGAATGATCATGTAAACTTTAATTGCATCCTTTGTTGCTGTAAACAGTTTATTCTTAAATTTCAGCCAAGTCTGTGACAATCTCACCAATAAGAATGAAATGGGTGGGGTGTGATGGCTCACACCTATAATCCCAGCACTTTGGGAGGTTGAGGTGGGCAGATCGCTTGAGCTCACCGGTTCAAGACCAACCTGGGCAATATGCCAAAACCCTGTCTCTACAAAAAATACAAAAATTAGTCAGGCATGGTGGTGGACACCTGTAGTCTCAGCTACTTGGGAGGCTTAGATAGGAGGATGGCTTGAGCACGGGAGGTTGCAGTAAGCCAAGATTGTGTCACTGCACTCTAACCTGGATGCAATAGAGCCAGACCCTGTCTCAAAAAAAAAGAAAGAAAAGAAAAAAAATGGCTCACTTCCCTATTATGAACTAAAAGAAAGGTAGGTTGGCAGGACCCCAGCCTTACTCTGTAGTGACACAACCCAGAGGGACCTCTCCTGGAATGCAGGGTCAAGTTTATGTGTGAAGGGACTCTAGAATAGCTGGCAAAAATGGCTACATGTTAACCATTCATGGCTTAGTGCAGTATTCCCATAATTTGTAATTCCATAAATTTATTCTCAGCTATCTCCCAGCCATCTCTAATAGGAATATGTGTGCCCCAGTTTTGACAATGCTCTTGAAACCAAGTTAGTGTTACCTGCATTGCCTTATAACAGAACTATAGGTACATATTAAAGGGATCCGTTTGATTGATTCCTTTAATGTGTACATACAGCAATTGCAGAATTGGTTTTTACCCATACCAGTTAAAGTAGGATAGGTTAGTCTTTGGGGGCAGGGTGAAACAGTACAGGCTTTTCACTCTGAAATGGCAAATTAGCTCTATTCTTTGAGTCTACCAGAGATTCCCATTTGAGTGTGAATGGGGCATGTGTGTTTGTGTGTCTGTGTGTGTGCTTATTCATCCTCATGCTTTCTTCTGTAGTGTTAATTCAGGCTTTCCTAATAAAGGCATCCAAAGAGTACTGAGAAGTGACCATAGGTATTTGGCATGAGTAAATTTGGTTCCTTTTGCCAAAAACTCTCAAAGTTAAAACTGGAGTTCTTCTCGACAAAAGGTTGGGGAAATCAGCCATGACTTTAGCTTCATTCCCAAGTACACATCTTATCCACAAGGATAAAACGCTGTAGAGCTCATCCTGAGGGCTCATGTGTCGCATTGGGAGGGCAGCAGTGACCAGAACACCACAAGGCCCACAATATGTTTTGAATGAGGGAACATTTAATGTCATTTTTTAGGAGATAGAAACCAAATAATAAAGGAC